TTTTTTGTTACATGGATGAATTGTGTAGTACAGAAGTCAGAGCTTATAGAGAGTACCATTTCTAATGGTGAAAATTTCATGTATTTGCCCTTCAATCAGGAAAATAACAAAGATGCTGTTATAATCCTAACTCTTCAACACTGCATAATATTCCTATCCTATATATTAGGACAAGAAAGGATATAAGAGATTAAGGGGTTATTTTAGGGTGATATGATTGTCTATGTTAGAATACAGGAAGATTTATGTGAAAAATGCCATACTAACTCAAGAATTCATTGATGTTTTTAGATATATGATTAATATGCAAAACAAGTAGCACCTCTATAGATGAGCAATGACCAATGCTCATGATAAATACATCAAAATGCTAGTCATAAGCTACGCATTTTATAAGTAATTATAATAAAATTACTTAATAAAATGTAGTGACTTTACAATGTAAATAACATTATTAAAGGATATAAAATAGTTTCTGAAAAAAATGTGCGTGTACAAGAAAACTCAATACCATAAAAATATTAATTATTCCTAAATGAATTAATAAATTTAATGCAATGGAAATCAGATCTTTATTCATTATTGAACTTGCCAAAATGTTTCTAAGATTCATTTAAAAGAGTACGCTAGTTAATATAAATTATGCTGTGAGGAAAAAAAATCTAACCAAATTATGTAATGGCTCAAGTAAAATAGAATATAATTTCTTGCTCACTAAACCATCTAAGACATCTGCCTCTGGTCAATGGTTGGTTTTCTTCCCGTGATGATTTAGGGAACTGGGTTCCATCCATCCTGTGGCCCTGCTGTCTCCTAAGGCATCTGGCTGTCAGAAAAGGAAAAACAGCAAGGAGAGACACACTTACTTCTTAAGATGATGACTCAGAAATGGCACATATTTCTTCTGCTCATATTCCATTGCTTAGAAAGCAATTGGTGTCATTGTGAATGGAGTGTAGCTCTGTGCTCAAAAAGAAAAAGAAATACATTTGCATGAAAAGCTAGCAGTCTCTACCACATGTAGTAAGATCCCAGAATAGCCAAGACAATTTTGAAAAGATGAGTAAGACGGACCTATCCTAGCATTTGTAAAGGCTTATTATGAAGTTCTAGTAACTAGACTGTGTGCAAGAAATATACAAAGAGATTAATTGAGAAATAGAATAGTTCGAAATGCATACACAAAGATGAATATATATGCATATACACATACACATGTATATCTGGTATTTGAGAGAGGAGGCATAACAAATGAATAAGGAAAGAAGGAACCATAAAGTAATTGGTGCTGGAACAATTTGCTGGACATTTAAATGCAGAAACAAATCACCAACAACAGCTTAGGTCACTGTCTTACATCTTACACAAGAATAAATTCAGATGTTCATTAAAGAGGTAAATGGGATAAATACTTGAAACTATTAGAAGAAAATGAAGGAATGTATATTTATGACTTTGGAAAAGGGAAGTAATTTCTAAACAAGAAATACACACAAAATACACAATCACAAAGGAAAAGGTTGTTAAATTTGACTATAATGAAATTAAAACTTTCATACAATCAAGAAAAATTTGAGATTGACAAAATTAATGAACTAGCAACAAATAATTATCTAGAATACATCATTAACCCTTAAAATTAGCTATGAAAAACACTCCAATTGAGTACAAAACAGTTATTCACAGAAGAAATCTAAATAGCCATTCAACATATAAGAAGATGCTCAACTTCTATGGAAAACAGGGCAATACAAATTCAAATGATAAGATACCTTGCGCACTCTTCAGATTGGCAACCATATGTTTGTTGGTGCTTAGTGTGAGTGTGGGGAGCTATAGGTTGTTTTCTCTGTGTTCCTATTCCACCCTCAACTTTCGAAGGCCTCCCTTGCACCACAAAGGGAGACCCTCGCCATTCTCTTACCCCTGCCCCATCAATGGATTGCTGTAGCTTTTGCTCAGTGCAGTGCTTGAAGTGTGGCTAGGGGTAATTCTAGATTTCTTGCTCCAGCCTCAGTATCAGACAGGTGCTATGGATCTGGGCCTTGAGGTAAAGATTTCTCAGTACTTTTTCTTTCCCTAAACACCAGCCAATTCCCACCTCATA